CAACTTTTTTGTTTCTAACTTTCTGTCTCTTCAATGGTGAAGGTTCCATCATTTCCAGATGATGTGGCTATGGCTCTTATTGAAGAGGAGCTTGGACAACAATGGTATAACATCTACTCTGAACTTTCCTCCTCCTCTATAGCCACTGGTAATCTCAATGACCATTCACTTCTGGCTGCATTTATTTAGCATCATTTGCTGCAAATGTGCATTAGTTTTTACTTTCACGGCTTCTCAATACTCTGTGTCTCCAAATTTGTCTTGTATGTGAAGCTCATATATTATTTCCATGTTTTGAGAATTAATGACAACATTCCTCGGCCAAGTCTACAAGGGCTAGCTAAAAGAGAATTGTGATCTGGTAGCTGTCAAAGTATAGAGGCCTTTTGTCCTTGAGATGAACAATAGATTTATTCATTACAAGCCACTTAGGACTTTCTCTTTGCAAATTTTTGAATGTAGTGACTGTTCATTTTCTTATTCTCTATTATATGTGGAAGGGGTTATGAACAAGTAGTGATCTACCTCAAATCTAATTTTTAAGATATCTGTTAACATTGTTGGATTGGTTGATGAATGAACTGCTAATTTCTTTCAGGAACTTGATTATGTTAGTGAGGAAAACCATGGAACTGTTTTTGCTGAAAAATGTCAATTTTTGCATTTTGCTTTTGTTCATAAAAATAGAAGCAATTTGAAATTTTTGTGAACTTCTGTTTAATGCGTTTCTATTTAATTTTCTTGCTAGAATTTAGATTTTAAGGAATTTATGGTGGGTTTTTTCTCATTTGTATGCAATAAATATCCTTCGTGAGAAGAAGTATGCTTCATCTGCATAAAGACAGTTTCTTCAATAGCTTGACTTTTACTAATCCTGTAATTTATTTTTATTTTATGCTGTTTTGAACTCAAAAATTAAGGGATCGAATGAATATGTTTGTAATTTCATGTTCATTGTTAGTTAGTTCGAACTTTGGCCCTTTTTCTTTTTATTAAATTTTTGACTTTAAACTTTAATATACTAAGTACTTAAAAAAAGGAATTAGTAAAATAAATTCATGTAAAAAAAAAAAAATCGTATGGCAATGGTAAAAAAACATTGCTAAAATGTTATCCGCAATACTCGAAAAACATTGCAAAAAGTTTATTAACAACATTTAGAAAACGTTGCAAAAATATTTTTAGCAGTATTCAAAAAGCATTGCAAAAAGGTTATTAGCAACATTCAACAAACGTTGAGTAATATTCAAAAAAAAAAAATGTTGCAAAAAGGTTATTAACAACATTCAAAAAAAAGGTTGCAAAAAGTTATTAACAACATTAAAAAAATGTCGTGAAAGAGTTGTTTACCATGTTTAAAAAACGTTGTCGTATCCTTTCACTCTAAAACAACATTTAGGTTTGCAACATGCAGCCGAACACTGCAAAATGTCTTCAACAATTTTTTTTGAATATTATAAAAGGCTGTTTTTGATATAGTAGTGGCTAGAAGTGGATACTAAATCTCGAGCTTTACCTAAGTGAGATTAGGCAAGGCCTAACTCTTAAAAGAAAATGTAACTTAATTTTATTATGATTTTAAATATTTAATCATTCTAAAAGTTATTTAATAATTAAAATAATACATACCAAATATATAAAATTATAAAATGATTTACTTATTAATATCTACAATTAGTCAATTATACAATTTTTAAGTTATACTAGTTTTTATACTTTCAACTAGACAAGATCTACTTAACAGATTTATTGGAACTTCATATAGATTTTCGAATTTTCCAGCAAAACAAAATGATAAGACTCAGAATCAAAATTATATAATATAGATAGCACCATAGCTTAAATCGTACCTAACTCTCTATCGGATAATGTAATTTCTTTTTCCTTTTGTGCAATAAAGTCATTTAAAAATTTGAAACTAAAAGTCAAATAAAAGTCTTTTAAAAAAATAATTAAAAAATTTAATAAATTATATCAAATAAAATATTTTTAAAAAAGGGAAAAAATTAAAATAATAATAAGGAGCATCTATGCGTGCATTTAGTGGTCAACTTGAGTGCCTAATTTGCGTTTAATGACAAGGCAAAGCTTTTTATAACATTGGTACATCCTGATATTTATACGGTATTTGTCTTCATATTTACAAAAATGGTTTTTAGATTATAATATGAAGCTAGTGTTGATTTTATAGTGACCCATCCAGATTTATCTAATACAATTTACGGATTGAAACAAATTTTTTTTTTTTTTTTTTCAAGATTTATGAGATTTGGGTTTCTATTTATTAATGTAAAATTAAATTTGGAAGATTTGTGAGAAGGGATAAAATGAAAGTAAAAGACATAACAATTAAAGGAAAGATTATACATCATGGAAGAATAAAAATACAAGAAAAATTTGACCATATCATTGAGTTCATGGGATTTGGGTTCCCAATTGTTAATGTAAACTTAAATTTTGGATTTTTTTTTAATTTTCTTGTGAATTCTAAATCAATGCATGACAAATGTATAAAGGGAATTTGAAATTTGAATTTTAAGGGCAGATACGTCATATCATACCAAATTAAATAAAAAAAATTATTTTAAAAATTGTAAGAACGCCACTCGAGTCAAGACTTCTAAAATAACAAACTTTGTAACTGGTTATTAAAATTTGTAATATGTTCCAAATATCATAAGATCTTCTCTCTCTCGAAATCAAAGAAATTAACAAAAAATGAGCTAAAAAAGCAGACAAATCAGACCTCGAAAAGGAAAAGAGAGAAAAACAGTCAAAGTATGCAAGGCTCATTTATAATTTTGATCGATCTCTTTTTTTATTCCCTCTCTCTTTCAAAGAAAAGGTTAAGAAGGCAAGAAGATATGAATAAGAAGCGGTGAAATGAAAGTAAAAGACATAACAATCAAAGGAAAGATTATACGTTATGGAAGAATAAAAGTACAAGAAAAAATAAGAATATATCATCAAGTATATATCATACCAAATTAAATAAAAAATAAATTATTTTAGGTATTCTAAAACTCTCTCGAAATTTCATTTGATTTGTGCATTAAAAATTGTAATATGTCTCATCCATCAAGTGACTCAAGTTAAGACATCTAAAACATCAAATTTTATAAATGTTTATCAACATTTGTAATACTTTCCAACCTCCATAAGATCTTCTTCACTCGCTCGAAATCAAAAAATTAAAAAAAAAAAAGAAAAGGAGCTAGAAATGCAGAAAACTCCTGGAAAACGAGAAGGGGGAAGAACAGTGACCGTCAGGGGCGGAGTCCAATGTTTTGGGCTCAACCCCAAAGGCCCAAACTTTTTTTTTTTTTTTTTTAATCCCCTAACTAAAGCCCAGTAGCCCTCATCGGCTGTTGTCCTGGAGAAGCAGAAGAGAACGGCGACGGCTTGAAGGGAGGTGAAGTAGTGAAGGGGTTCGATCCTTGAGGAGGGGGTCGGCGTTAGAGGAAACGTGGAGCTGGTTGACCAAGGCAATGAAGAGACAGAGGATGATAAAATAGAGCTGGAGGACCAGAAATCGGATTCTACCCGAATAGTCTGCAAGGAGTCCGGACACTCGTCCTCCTGTTTCTGATCTGAACTCACCATTTTGGCAGATTACTTGGTTTATATCGATACTGCTATCAATGGTAGTCTCATTTTTCGCACTTGCAATTTAACTTTTCCTCACGCTGGACTCTGATGACTCATCCAATCCTGTTTCTACTGTTTCTATTTGAATGAGAAACAGTATGACTATCTTAACCCCATATTACATCACCTTCTTCCAGGTACTTGGATTTTCTTTTGCAGACTCCAGATTAGTCTTTTATCTTTAAGTTTATGGTGGTTCAACTAACCATTTGTTATCATTCAGAAAGTTGTCAAGGTAGAAACTCAGTGATTTATTGGGGGTTTGTGAATGTGGATTTCTATCTGTACTGCAAATAATTATATTTGATTCTACTCTACCTTTGAATAGGTACACCACTAGTAAAATGTTAAATCTGATTGGTGAAGACTGTTAATTTGTGGGATTGTAAAGTAGATTTTTGAGGATTGATCGATGCTAAGCTTTTCAAGCATTATAAAATTATGTTTTCCAAGTTAATTAGCTTTTTTTTTTTTTTTTTTTTTTTTTTTTTTTTTTTTTGGTCACTAAATTGTGCTTTTTTATTGTGTTTCAAGCTTCTTTTTCTACTTATTTCAGTGCATTCCGAGGTTGATTATTTCAGTTGCTTTTAATTTGTGAACATAGACTATATTCCACTAGTAAAATGCGCCAGAGTGCATGGCCGTCTTGCTTAGATTAGATGCATTTGTAATTTTGTAACTCTGATATTTTTTGCATTGTTTTTATTAGTTTTCCGTGTTTGCTTAATTGTGCGCGTGAGTGTGTTTTCTTTTTAAATTGAAATTTAGAATGAATGGTTGTTTATTTAATTTGTTATTGGTTAAAGGTCTGGACCATTTTGAATTTTGAATATGGGTTGGAATGATTCAATTGGGTTTTTGGATGGAAATGTCGAGAAGATGCCGCTGGAAAATATAATATGGTACTTCTAAAGATACTATATAGACAATTTCTGGATCTTTTTTGATGCATTTATTTAGTCATTCCTTCGTAGTTTTAACCGCAGACTTGTTTTACAGTTTGAATTTCGAGTATATTGGTTTGAGCAGTTCATGTGCAACCTATTGCTTTTTTATTCTGTGTCAATAGAATTTTGTCCACAATGAACTAATATCTAGGCTCCGCCCTTGAAATAGTCAAAGTGTGCATGGCTCATTTGTAACTTTTGCTTTCATTTTATTTATTTATTTATTTGTTTGACTAGTCTCTTTTTTTTATTTCTTCTCTTTTTCAAAGACTAGTCTTTGTCCGTGCAATGCACGGACTTGGTTATTTTTAAGGTAGAGTTAACATGCCTGCAAAATAGATTTATACAGTATCAAATATACAACCCTTCAATTTGCAAAATGAAAGTACTGAAGTAAATAATAAGTGAAAAGCTCAAATTCACCACTCTTATTCCTTTAAATAAATGAAGCATCCACTAAAGTCAGTTTTGAAGTAAACCACCAAACTACAAGTAACTACATTGTCACAGTTCTTTGTTGCAGCCTCTGCCCTCCTCCAATCTTCTTGACCCCTCTAGAATAAATATATTTAGCTGGGCCTATCAACAGCCCCTTTGAGTTGTGGCCAAAGATGCGCCTCCCAATAAGAACAGACTGACGATCGAACAATCGAAAGATGCTTGTCATATATCCTATTTGCTTTTGCAATTCTGAATTATCTCTGGTGAAAGAATGTAAAATCTTTGCAGCCATTTTCACTGCACTTACTTCAATGAAGGTATCAAAATCCTAAATATCTTATTTTGTCTATAATTAGAAAAATGTGTGTTTATTTGAGTTGTTTCTCATATTCTACTTCTCAGAATGAAGCAAAGAAACAAAACGTAACTATTTTTTCTTATACAGCCGAAGGAAAGAAGAGCAATTTGTCTTTCCTGCCTCCCTTGAATAGAGGTTTGGCATAAGAGATTTTATGGATTGACTAATACCATATAACCAGAATGACACGCAAAATAAATGAAAACGTGTCAGGCAGATATTAAATGCATTCATCTAAACCATATCTTTCATTTACATAATAATGATATGATATAAATAGGAGGAGGAAGAGGAAGAGGAATTTATGCGAGCTAATGTGTTTGCAAATAGTTTGATTTATTGGATCTTTTGATGAAAGACAGAAAACGTAGTGGGGGAAAAGGATTTATTTATCGAACTCAATAAATTGGGAATAAGGTATGTGCTTAACTAAGAGTGCTTGTCATAAGGAAATATTACACAATTCTTGTACTAATGAAAAAAATCCTTTGGCAGAGTGCAATGTTTTATAGTGTAGTATTATTAGGACATGTAAATGGCAAAAAGAATAAATTTAAGAGGTAACTTCTTTATTTTCGAAGAAATATAATACATATACTCATACCTTGGCTTCAAATTTGTGGTCGAGAAGAATGTTAGCAAATTTAATATGACAGTGTATAATCGTTGACCTGCAAGTATTGATAAAATTAATCAAAGAAAAATATGGTAAAGAGAACTGTGTGTGGAAAAACCCACTCGTGTCATGCAGATATGTCAATCCATTTGCAGAACCTAGAGTAATTTGCATCCGAGTCTCCCAATTTATAGAAGGTTTCTCCTTCCCTGCATTAGTTCTCTCTATCAAGAACACATTTAAAAAAGAATAGATATTTGACGAATACCAAGACGAGTCCACTTACAGGAGAGCTATATAATTTAAAATTGCAGTACACCAGTGAGCAAATCATAAAACTATGACAACTGATAATAACCATCATGCAAAGAAGAATGGAGATTTTGTGTCCGAAAGAAATATAGATATAAATATATATTTCTCTCAGTATCCTGTTGATCTTTGTCCAATCCTAAAAAGCAACCACATTTGACAACGTAAATGCGCAGGACAAAAAAGCTTGGCTGAACATTCAAATAGCACCAGCATTTATAATGACTTGAGAACTACTGGTGTAAGCATAGGATGAACTGGAAATACAAGAATTAACAATTTAATAAATGGATTCAATGGGCCACTGAAAAGCAAATACATGGCTTAAAGTGACGGGAGAGGGGACATAGGGAAATCATTTTTAATACTATTATCAAGAGCTCTTTTATTGCACCTTACATGAAAAAAATATTTAAACAGTTAAGAGTTTGTCAAATATCAGGTGGTATGACATCTGGATTAAATTGAGCAAATGTATCTAATATCTTTACAGCATCAGGTCCCTTGGAAAATACGAATTTGTAAATCACTCTTACGAGATTTCGAATTGCCCAGCCAACAAGAGTAGATAAGATAGTCATGATCTATAAATCATCCAACAAACTCTCAGAGAATCACCCAAGGTATTACAACTTCAGATACGAAGATGATTAAAAAATGTGTCAATTGACATACAAAAATCTTCAAAAAATGCTAGCTAACTTCAGAAAAATACCCAAATAACAATAGCAGATCGACCAGCAACTATCATCTATTCACTGTTGGCCTGACAACAAACTGAATACACCACTTCAAATGCTATGACATCATTGACAAGCATGCAACCTTCTTTGATTATTGTTAACTTCCATTAGTCAAATATATTCTCCGGCCTACGATGTCAAAGAAAATTTTCTTTTGCTTCAATGGCTAGCCAAACTGCAATAAAAACCAGCTTCCAGCATAGAGAAATAGCACAGCTTAAACTATATCTTTTCATATCAGAAGTTCAACATTGAACAATTGTAAGCACACAAGCAACCCTCTCCCACTCAAAGTAATAAAGGAGTTCCAAATGCTTTTTAAATTCACAAAAAAAAGCTCGTACAAAGAACAGAGATGCAAATGACCTGTAAATCTATAAGCCGAACATAGTGACGCAGAAGGTTGAACCCAATCTGAAGAAACCAAACCAGCGACTCCAGTAGGATTGAAATAGACTGAACAATCTAAGAAAATGAAAGAGAAATTAAAAAAAGCAAACAAACATTCAAATAGACTATAGGAAAAGATCTCAAATATTGAATCTTCTTTTCTGTTCTCAACCGAGTTAATAAATGGGATCCCAACATTTTAAAATTGCACCTGTTCTCCAGTGGGAATTTTAAAGCATAGATTTCTTGCTCCAAAATGAGACTTATACGCAAATACATTTCAACAATCATACATAAGAGAACAGTATGATCTCAAAATTTCCTTTCATCAATAACAACATATTCCTCGAATAATGTGTCCCATTTCTAGGAAGAAAGCAGTTATTTGAGCTATATTTTGTCAATTATAGCATAACTTCATTCTATTTAAAACAAAAAAGTTCTTGTTTTCAAAAAATCATGATGAGTTTTCAGTCCCTTCTATAAGGTAATAGCATCAAGAAAAGAATGGCATAACTTGTACGACGTCATTATGAAGTGAAAAGGCATTCCAAAACAGACATGAAGATGAATTAGTTAAATCACAAAAGTACCTGAAGCCAAACATTCATGGCAAGTAGAAAATCCATTTTTTTTGCATAATGCACATTGTTATGTGTAATTAGCCTTTGAAGGGTAAAAAACTACCAGATTGCTCGTTTCTCTTTCAAAGAGCTGGTGAATCACCTCCATGAGAGGATGCGGGCGAGGGTGTTTCAGGAGTTGGCTTCGATTTTGTCATTATCGGTCTGCAAGGTCTATGAAAGCAAATCGATTTTCAGTGATCATGACAAGATTGATGAAACAAAAATCGTCAATACAAATCCATTCAGAGGGAATGTAGCCCTATTGGTCTCCAAACTATTGCCTGTGTAGAAAGTTGGTCATCAGCCTCCTTTTTAGTTGTACATTCAGTTTATGACGACGATCTAAATCTCCACTAAATCTTTTATGTGGATCTCACATGTCCAACTTTATGAAGATAAATTTTGTTTGCAGTGCCCACATTTTTTGAAGTGAGACATGTTCCCATGAAGTCTTGTGACGATTTAACAGAGACTGTACACTTCCTATTGTTCATTACTTATTGTACAACTATAATTAAAGGTTGACACCAACTTTCGTGTTTTTACTCAGCTCTAATTTATTCACTAAATCGAAACACTCAACGATGTCCGTGGTCTACACCCTGTTTGGCCCCCATTACGGGGAAAATTTAATGTATAGAATAGTGTTTTTTGAAAAATGAGTGGTTGAAAAAGAAAGAAAATTTTTTGATTTACGTGTAATATTATTTTATGGAAGATTGTGTGGTTGAAAATAGGAGAGAGAAAAATAGAATGTAATGTAATGTAATTTAATGAAAATCAAACAAGGGCCTAATGTCAACTAAAAAGGAAATTGTATAGTTTGTTGCTCTCATCAAGAGGGGGCTGAAACAAATTCTGTATAACTTGCAACCAAATAGATTTATTTATAACATTACATAATATTCTAACCATCTTGAATTTCAACCACAGCAAGGATCTTGAAAATAAAGTTAAAGCGCCATACAAACAGGGTACCCACCATTTTTCCCATCTAATCTAGTATGTTCTGCTACATGAAAACATCAAGAAATGACATTCTTATAACCTGATAGACTGCAAGTTCACTACAAATTATGATCAATTTGAAGCATCATTTACATTTATTACAATTTAAAAGAAGTTTTTAAACGGATTACAACTCAGATAACAAGTTACTGAAGATGAAGAATGGTCTGATTCAACTATTCGAACGTGATCCTCAAGAGCAAAAAATAAATAAAAATAAAAAATGAAAAAAATGGTGTACCTGGATATCAATCAGGCCTTTACTTGGGTTAGCCTCAATCTTCTCCACTCTCGTAGCATAATAGGTATATGGGGTTTGATCTCCCAAAAGATCGAACGGAAAAAATAATAATAACAATAATCCCATATTTAACACAATATCTGCAGAAACCAGAAAACATACACAACAAGAAGAAATTCAATAAAGGATACACAACAAGAACATCAAAGGAACAAGCTTTAGGTATTTTGGGTTCAATTTCTAAAAAGATCGAAAAAAATGAAAAAAATAAAAAATCTCGAATCGAGCAATATAATTAAAGAAACCGTAAGAAATATATAGAAGATGGAAATTGAAGCGGTGAAAATTATACTACAGGTATATGTCTCAATTGCCTTAGATTGTTTAGAATTTCTATACACGAGATTAGGATTAAAGGAAAGAGGAAATGAACACCCCAAAAGCTCAAAGGCTACATTTTGTATCCTAGGACAAACCGGTTAATGAACAGTAGAAACTGCGTAGGGTGTGAAAAGGGGGTGCACAAATGAATAGTGAATCCCTCCTTCCCCCTTGAAGAAAGAAAGAAAAAAACCTTAACTCCGATGGCTTTCAATTTCTCGTCTTCCACAGAACCATTGCAAAAGCTGAGAGAATTAAGGCGCGCTTTGGGTACCAGAATTTCAATCCCGGTGCAATTCAAAACCGAATAATTACGTTTTCTTCTCAATCTAGGGTTTTGGAGGGTGTGTGGATAAGGAGATAATAAACCATTATTGGTTCTGGGTGTAATTGAAATAAGAGAGGATTTAAGGGAAATTGCAGCCTGATTCTGCATCCAGAATTTAATTGGGAAGACTGTGTAATATGAATTGCCGTTAATTACACTACTTTCTTACTATACTGACTGGAAAAAGATTTGAAGAAATCAGTAGAAAAAATGGACGAACGGAAACGAAGAATAAAGCTGCAGCAGTTCTCAATTTTTGATTATGATAAGCGTTTTTCTCAATTCTCTTTTGACTATCTTCCGTAGTTTTACTAACGAATCGCCAATTGGAGAAAGGAGTGAGATTTGAAAGCAAATTCCTGTTTTAGGCCCCATACTTCAATTTGGTGTCAATTGAGCTACTATACTATAATTTTATGTCAGTTCGATCGCTACATTTTAATTTTGTCTCAATTTAAGTCATTTCATTCAGTTTCGCCACATTGTCTAGCGTCATATATTTTACGTGAATACTAAATACTAATGATCGCATACATGACCATGAAAATATGACATAAAAGAAGTGATTCAATCGAAAACCCACCTTTCGTGTTATTTTCAATCCATGTAAAAATGTAATTTTCAATTTATTAGTCCAATCTTACAAGCACCTCGGACCCAATGATTGAAAGGGGCTTAACGGTAAAACCCCAAATCATAGCAACATGTCAAACTGAAAACTCATCCATTAAGCAAGTATGCCTTCATTAGTAAACATCATCATTACATGATTGAAAATGTGTTCTTTAATTACGTCAACTCCCCCAACAATCAATTAAAAAAGACAGGAGTCCATCCTAATGTTGACACCATGGTTTCTACCAATGTTTGCCTAGATGACAAACAATCATGGTGGGCTGCAACAAGATTGGTCGAACTCAATAGCCAATCAAATCTCTTTAAAAAGGACAATGACTCACAAATTGATGTTAAACACTGTAACTTGACAAGACAAAGACAACAAGCCCATAATTGAAAGAACTATAAATAAGAGAAACAATTTACTTCGAAGAGAGCTAATGCACTCCATGTAAGATTTTCCCACAAAAGGCCAAGCCAAGCAAATTTATCTAAAACACTGCTCAACGAGAATCATTCTTTTCTTTACAATTTTTCCAGCAAATACATACAATTACTTTTCTAAATTTAGTTTAAATTGATATATAATTACCACGTTATTTGTAGCCATCAACACAATTTAATATTTTTTACAACCCGTTAGGATGTAACATCCACGTCAATGTCCTCGTTAAACAATGTGACGGAATCAGACAAAGGACTAAAATTGAGACAACAGTGAAGTATAGTTACCTAATTAAAACAAATTAAAGTATATTTACTAACTTAAGAATTGTCTAATAGTACAACGGCCGCAAATGAAAACCCAAAACGGAGAAAATTCAAAGTAACGGCATTGGAATTTTGCAGCATGTCATTTCATTATGCTAAAATTTATTCCCTGTTCACGGTGGGCAAAAATTATGTTACCCACCTACCCACATCGGCAGGTCAAACAAATATTTTTTTTTTTTTTTTTTTTTTCCCAAAAAAAAAAAAAAAAAAAAAAAAAAAAAAAAAAAAAAAAAAAAAAAAAAAAAGGTAACACAAAGCTCGAAAAGGAAAAGGGATAAAAAGAGTTAAATTGTGTAAGTCTCATTTGTAACTTTTGCTTTCAAGTTTTTTTTTTTTATTGGTCTCTTTTTTTATTCGTTTCTGTTTCAAAGACAAAGATAAAAAGGCGAGAAGAGAAGAATAAAAAGGATTGAAATGAAAGTGAAAAACATAAAAATTAAAAAAAAAATGATAATACATCAGGAAAAAGAAAAATACAACAAAAAAATTAGAGTATATCATTGAGTTCGTGGGATTTGGGTTCCTAATTATTAATATCAAAATAAATTCTGGATTTTTTTTTTTGAATTTTTAAACTTGTTGAACTTTCTTGATAAATGAACGAAGGGGATTTTATATTTGAATATGATGAGAGAGACAATCATATGACATATCATACCAAATTAAATAAAGAAAAAAAAAATTCATTTTAGATATTCTATTACGCTCTCAAAATTTCTTTTGTTATGTGTTTTAAAAGTTGTAATATGTGTTGTCCATCAAGCCGATTGAGTTGAGACTTCCAAAATATAACACTTTCTAACTGGTTATAAACATTTATGATATGTTCTCCATAAGATCTTCTTCTCTCACTCAAAACCAAAGAAACTAAAAAGAAAACGAGCAGGAAAATGGATAATTGAAGCCTCGAGAAGGAAAAGGGAGAGAAACAGTTAATGAATGCAAGGCTCATTGGTAACTTTTGCTTCGGATTATTATATTTTCTTATTTCCATTTTGTGATTGGTCACCTTTTCTTTTTATACCTTCTCTTTTTCAAAAAAATAAAAATTTGTTCAAGAAGACAAGAAGATAGGAATAAGAAGGGAATAAATGATAGTAAAAGATAGAACGATTAAAGGAAAGATTCTACAAGATGAAAGAATAAAAATACAAGAAAATTAGAGGATATCATTGAGTTTGTGGGATTTAGGTTCCCGATTATTAATGCAAAATTAAATTCAGGAATTTTTTTAATTTTCTTTTGAATTTTTAAACACAGTGCATTTATCACACTTCCTATTCGAAACATTTGTAATATATGTTCCAACTTCCATAAGATCTTCTCTCACTTAACCAAATAATTAAAAAGAAAATGAGCAAAAAAATAGATAACTCAAACCACGAAAAGAAAGAGGAAAAAAACGATTAAAGTATGCAAGGCTAATTTGTAATTTTTGCTCTGATTTATTATTATTATTATTATTATTATTATTATTATTATTATTATTATTATTATTATTATTATTATTATTATTTTCCTTTTTTCGGTTTTTGTAGTTGGTCTTTTTTTTGTCATTCTTTTTCTTTTTCAAAGAAAAGATTAAGAAGGCAAGAAGATAGGAATAAGAGGAAATGAAATGAAAATAAAAGACACAGCAATTATAGAAAAGATTATACATCATGAAAGAATAAAAATATAAGAAAAAAATTAGAGTATATCATCGAGTTTGTGGAACTTGGGTTCCTAATTATTCATGTAAAATTAAGTTCTGGATTTTTTTTTAATTTTCTTTTGAACTTTAAGAACTCAATGCATTTTCTTGACAAATATACAAAGGGGATTTCAAATTTGAATTTGATGGAGAGAAACCTAGATATGACCTATCATTCCAAACTAAATAAAGAAAAAAATTGATATTTCATGGCTCTCTCAAAATTTCATTTGTTATGTATATTAAAAATTGTAATATGTCTCGTCCATCATGCCATTTGAGTCAAGACTTCCAAAAGATCGCACTTTCTAATTGGTTATTAACAATTGTAATATATTCTCCATAAAATCTTCTTCTCTCACACAAAACCAAAAAAATAAAAAAGAAAACGAGCAGGAAAACAGATAACTCAAACCTCGTAAAGGAAAAGGGAGAACAACAGTTAAAGTATGCAAGGCTCACCTGTAGCTTTTTCTTTAAATATTTTATCATTTATTTTTATTTTTATTTGTTATTGGTTTTTTTTCTTTACTCTTTTTCTTTGTCAAAGAAAAGGTTAAGAAAGCAAGAAGATAGGAATAAGAAGGAACAAAATGAAAGTGAAAAATTATACATCATGCAAGAATAAAAGTACGAGTAAAAATTAGAGTATATCATCGAGTTATTGGGATTTTGGTTCCTAATTATGAATGTAAAATTAAATTCTGAAATTTTTATTTACTTTTGAAGTTTTAAACTCAATGTAGTTTCTTGACAAATGTATGAAGGCGATTTGAAATTTGAATTTGATGGGGGGAGAGAGAGAGAGAGAGAGAGAGATATGACATATCGTACCAAATTAAATAAAGAAAAAAAATCATTTTATATATTCTATAGCTCTCTTAAAATTTAATTTGTTACGTGTATTAAAAATTGTAATATGTCTCGTACATCAAGTTACTCGAGTCAAGAAGTCCAAAAGATCTCACTTTCTAACTAGTTATTAACATTTTTGGAAAGATCTTCTCTCGCTCAATACCAAAGAAATTTAAAAAAATAAAATAAAATAAAAAACAGAGAGCATGAAAACAGATAACTCAAACCTTGAAAAGGAAAAAAGGAGATAAATAGTTAAACTATGTAAGGCTCATTTTTAACTTTCATGTGCTTTCATTATTATTATTATTATTATTATTATTATTATTATTATTATTATTATTATTATTATTATTATTATTATTATTATTATTATTTTCTGATTGGTCTCTTTTTTTATACCTTCTCTTTTTCAAAGAAAACATTGAGAATGCAAGAAGATGTGAATGAGAAGGTATAAGATGAAAGTAAAAGATAGAACAACTAAAGGAATGATTGTACATCATGGAAGAATATGAATACAAGAAATATAATCGAGTTTGAAGGAAAAACAAGGAAAAGCTTGGCAATCAGCAAATATCTTTTTCTCCTATTCCAAATCTTCATACCCTAGTTCTCTAGATTTTTGCTTTGATTTTTCTCTCCATTTTCTTTCTAATGGTACCAACCCCTTCTTATGACCTAAACAAACTTTTCTATTTATAGTGGTCAAATAATTTTAAGAGTTGTGCTTCAAAAAAAGAGTCGAAACGGATGAAAAAAATACTCAGAAAAATTTAAAAATAACAAAAAGGAGTTTAACGAAGTTTGACTGTGCAAACTGAGGCATATAGAGTTTTGGGTAACCGTGATCAACAGCAGTATGG